TGATAGAGATCCTTTTCTATCATGATGCACCTTACGGTACTGAACCTCCAGATACGTTGAAGTTAGTGCTTCTTTGACCACTTTCCAGTTGTTCTCCATAGTAGATTCTTCTTTTTTGAGTGGATGTTGTAAGGCTTGGTACCTGTTTTGAAGAGTTATCTCAAGTTCGATGAGTTTGTCAGTATGTCGAAAGAATGATATACTTAACGTTCGCAATGTTGTTTATTCAGTTGTCCATTGCTTCCTTAGATTCAATTCCATCTTGGTAACCGCCAGTTGGTAGTGGTCTGATTCTATGTCAGATCCTCTCCCGATTTTCACGTCTCCCACTGTTGATTTTTTACTGAAGGAAATGTGATCGATCCGGATGTGTGTAGTGTGATCCGGTGAGACCCATGTATGGGTTTGTAAATGAATATTGTGCCGCAAATAACCAATCCGTTGAGTGCACATAGATTTGCAAACCTTTCACCATTCTTGTTTCTTTCTCCTTGTCTATGTCGCCCCACGATATCTTCATATCCTGTGCTGTCCATTCTGACTTTGATGTTTTTGTTTCCTATCAGGATATTCAAGTTCTTTTCTGATCGACTTCAGACTTTCGTGAAATCGATATTTATCGTCTTCTTGGTCATTACATATGGGTTCATATCACTGTGATCCACTCATTGATTGTTTTGAAAGTTGCGGTTATAATTTTAGGTCCATAAAATTTTCATCTTACAAGTTTTGTTCATGCCTCTTTGGACGAGACTATTGCAAATACCTGTATGAGTGTGTAGCATTTTCTTCCGCACGACCAGAGTACGATAGCACCTTTCTTGAAGCTAATGATTTCGCTCCAGCCTGAGTCCAATTTTTTCATTAAGTGCGAGAGCCGCCAAGCTGTACCTCTTGGTTTTCACAGCTTTTTAGTTGGTCATCCCGGTCTCCTTTATTGTATGAATATTCCATGTACTTTTGTAATTTGTTGGTGTGATTGTCACACTAGGCATCGGCCTTGTGACCTCCGAAGAATCTCTGCCTTCACTATGAGGCGTTAGAAATCTTCTAAATGGAGACCCATCAACTCCCAAGACATAGTTTAGATGGTTTGATTTGTTCTTCGTTCTGGTTAGTTTTCTTCACGAGTATGTTTTCTACGGGATGAGGTCTTTGCCAACATTCACAACTAAGATAATAAAAAGTATTCAAATCAGTGTGCTAACTAATAATTCCCGATATAGTGCATTTTAAGACAGGTAGAACTAGATGAGCAAAAACGAATGTAATATATTTGAAATTCGTAATTAGCGTATGAACAAGTACTAAAAATTAAAGCGTGGCGTCGAGTCGAAATTGACTGTGAACATCACTACAAAGGAACACGTGCTACGATATCCATAAAATCCCCCGGAGGCTAAATATCAGAAGGCAGTTAATGGACCAAGTCGAGATATATTTGCTGGCGACATCCTGGTATCGAAAAAATACTGAGATCGTGCCAGGATACAACCTTGAGTACTGACCATAACCGGATCCGCGTGAGGTCACAGTCGAAGTAAGTATACTGGATATTTTTAGCACAGTTAAACAAAGAGCACATTAAAACAGTCACTGGTACAATTGGTTATAATAATAATTGTTTTCATTAAACCAATCGTGTCCCAAGCCCGGATAAAGGAAGAGGGTTGGGCATGGGGTTAGCGTCCCCATCCCGTAGAAAACCAACTCGCTAAAAAAACGCTAACCAGAAAAAATTATTCAAACCTTTTAAACTGCCCCTGCAGTCAGGTCTTCATTTAGAAGAACTATGACGCTTCATGATGAAAGCCGAATTCCTTCGGAAGTTACGAAGCGGATGCTCCTTCTGACAACCAGAGCGACCATTTATTTAGGTACATGGAATGTTCGTACAATGTGAGACACCGGGAGAGCCTTCCAAATTGCTGCAGAAATGAGGAGATACAACCTAGAGGTGCTTGGGATCAGTGAAACACATTGGACGCAAGTTGGACAACAACGACTAACTTCAAGAAAGCTTCTGTTATACTCCGGCCATGAAGAAAATGCTCCACATACACAAGTAGTTGCATTGATGCTGTCCAAACAAGCACAAAAGACACTTATAGGATAGTAATCTCATGGACCAACGATCACCAAAGCCTTCTTCAAAACAAAGAAAGAGGGCATTTCAACGAACATCATCCAATGCTATGCGCCTACCAACGATTACAATGAAGACGCTAAAGATCAATTTTACGATAGGCTGCAGTCAATCATCGAGAAGTGCCCAACAAAGGACCTTATCATTCTGATGGGAGATTTCAATGCCAAGGTTGGAATGGATAACAGTGGATATGACGACATCATGGGACGACACGGACTGGGAGAAAGAAACGAAAATGGTGAGAGATTTGCAAACCTATTTGCCTTCAATAAATTGGTCATGGGTGGCACCATATTCCCACATAGGCGCATTCACAAGAATACATGTACTTCACCGGATCACACCACTCAAAACCAAATCGCCCACATTTGCATCTGTAACAGCTTAGGTTGGTTGGTTAAGAGTTGACCCCAAACAACCAAGCATATGCCAAAACAGTATTGTTCAAGTATTCATCCACTTCCTTGTTTTGTATAAGCGTTATATTCCCTATTATCTTATATTGAATGTTGAGAGCCTTTGTTTGTCTGAACAGATAATCCCACGCTCCACTGTCGTCGCGCTGAGATCGAAATAAAGACCTATTCACTACTTCTCTGGTTTCTTCTATCAATAGCACGAGGGTTACCTTAAGGCACGAAACATCAACAAAACGTTCAGGAGTTTAGAGGACGTGAGAACCAAGAAAGGAGCTGATATAGCATCAGATCATCACTTGCTGGTCGCCAAGATGAAATTGAAACTCAAGAAGTACTGGACAACGGGGTGGACAATATCACAAAGAGGTGGGTAGAACACTTCAAAGAACTCTTGAATCGACCAGCTCCACTGAACCCACCCAACATCGAAGCAGCACCCACGGACCTCCCAATCAATTTTGGCCCACCAACAATTGAAGAAATCAGCATGGCCATCAGACAAATCAAGAGCGGCAAAGCAGCAGGACCAGACATTCCAGCAGAGGCACTAAAAGCAGACGTAGCGGCAACTGCAAGGACACTCCAAATACTATTCAATAAAATTTGGGATGAGGAACTAGTACCAACAGACTGGAAAGAAGGACTTTTGATCAAAATTCCAAAGAAAGGTGATCTCAGCAAGTGTGATAACTACAGGGGCATCACTCTTCTCTCAATACCGGGAAAAGTCTTCAACAGGGTACTATTAAACAGAATGAAGAACTCCGTGGACCCCTCAACTTCGAGAACAACAGGCAGGATTACGTAAGGATAGATCGTGTACAGATCAAATCGCAACTCTACGGATCATTGTGGAACAATCAATTGAATGGAATTCATCACTCTAAATCAACTTCATTGACTACGAAAACGCAATTGATAGCGTGGACAGAACAACACTATGGAAACTTCTTCGACACTACGGCGTGCCTTAGAAGGTAGTCAATGTCATACAGAACTCATATGATGGATTAAACTGCAAAGTCGTGCATGGAGGACAGTTGACAAAGTCGTTCGAAGTGAAGACCGGTGTCAGGCAAGGTTGCTTACTCTCACCCTTTCTCTTTCTCCTGGTGATCGACTGAATCATGAAGACGTCAACATCTGAAATGAAACGCGGGATACAGTGGACATCTGGCCCTCCTGTTACAAAATAGCATACCAAAAGACATAACGGACCAATAGCACTTAAGATTCTCCCAAGTGGGAAATACGACATGAAGGTGAGAAGAGCGCTTTTGGCACGAACACGAAGAAATTCGAATTTTTGAAATAAAATTACAAAATTAGGTTCTGTGCCAAGTGAGTTCTAGGGATCTAACGTCCCCAACAGCAGGAGAAGACGACCAATATAGCAGAAGTAGGTCTTAACATACACAAAAAGAAAAGCAAGATTCTTGAATACAGCACGGCGTGCAACAATCGAATCACACTTGACGGAGGAGATTTGGAGGATGTAAAAACCATTACATATATGGGCAGCATTATTGATGAACACGGTAGATATGACGCAGACGTGAAGGCGCAGATCCGCAAAGCAGAGCAGCATATCCACAATTGAGGAACATCTGGGACTCAAAACACCTGGCAACCAATACCATTCATCAGGTTCTGCTTATTAAAGATAGTCGCCCGAGTGAATAAGTGCGTTAGGCAATGTAGGTGTATCTAAACTGGTACATACGACTAGAATATTTTTAATAACGCGTAAGTGACTTATGTTTCTGAAAACTTCCTAGGTGTTAAAACGAACCACTTAGTGCGCTCATCAACTTACATACCTCTCTAGGTACTCTGACGGTCATAAATTGGTGTCTTTTCATGTTGACACCTTGTAAATTCAATCCATACTATTTGAGCGCATTATCTTGTGTTGTGAAAAAAACGCTGACTCACTAATGCGATGTTTCGACATACAATACTATCAATGACTTGTGCAGTAAAATGTTTCAGGAAGTTTAGAAATTCTACTTAATAGTTAAGAAAACGAAAGGAATTCAGTGCTGGCTAACCTTCCGATAAGACTATGACTACATAAATACTGTTTCATAGGTCTATTCGCGTACATTTAATCATAAATGAAGCGGTTACATGAATCGAGCCTCGTAAAAATAGAACACATGGGGCAGCTAGGATTTTAAACTGTTACTTATATATTCAATATAAAATTGCAGAATTAAGTTATATCCTTCTGCATTGTGCATATATATGACTACGATGCGGCGCACATTTAAGTAGTTTTATGTCATAACTTTAGTGAATAGATATAAATGTACCCCTGATTCAAAAGACCTCTGATTAAATAACACTGAACACAAACTGTAGGAAGTTAGATAAGACTCCTGAATAGCTAGTCAAAAACTTATTGTGGACTACAGAAGAAATTGGACACATTTAAAGTACATTCTACATTTTATTAAGAAATTTCAAACTGCACCATTTTATGATAAAAAGAAAAAACATAAGATGACCAATTTAAAACAATGAAGTGTATAAATATGACAAAAGTTAAAAATGCATGTTATTCATTTAAAACACTTATGAAATGATTAGTACCTTTTATTAATCCTAAAAACAAATACGAAAATGAATTCTTTTTTCTAAATATAATGAAAAGGAGTAAAAGATCAGAAGAAAGTTTAAGATAAAGAATCTTTGTGTTGAGCATTATATATCATTTGAATAAATTAGAAATAACCTAATTCATACTATACAATAAATTAAGTAAATATATTTATATATACATATTAACATAGGAATGGTTGCATGTAAAAGTTTCAGTTAAACAAACAGATTTCTTTTCGAAGATAATTGAACAAGAACCAAATCCAATAAGAAAATAATCGATGACTTATGTAGTTGAAGTTCTGTTGTTGTCATTATTATTGTTGTTCAAACACAAGGAAAATGTTCTACAAAACGTATATATGATTCATCTAGAAACAAGTCTAGCTGATCAATTTTAGAAGATACAGAATGTATCAATTCTATAGAAACTTTTTCTTCATCAAAATCATTATTAATCAAACCAACATATCCAGTATAACTACCATTTTCAATTTCATTTGAATGTCCTGAGATAACTTTTTTAACTTTGTATAACTCATCATTCAGTGTAGTAGTTGTTACTGAACTCGCAGTGGATTGTTTAGCTGAAGAAATATCATCATCCCGTTTATCTGGAAGATTTGAAATTTGTTCAGCAACACATGTATGAAGAGATATTTGTGGACTAATTTGTGGTGAATCTAATTTTATTCGTTTAGTTGGCATAGCCACTTCATTAAGTATTAGTGATGTTTCTTCATCATTAATTTCATTTAAGCTAATTTTCACGTCATTTTCTACTTTAGGTGTACAACTTGTTAGTTGATTACTAAGTTTATATTTTTCTTCTTTATTTAAAAACGAACTAACAATTAATGTATCTCCACAATCACTTGGTTGTTCACGGTTAGAAGATATATTCTCACTTTTAGGTGAGGTAGACTGTTCACTACACGAGTTGTAAGTGCATTTCATTTTATTAACAGGAAAATCATCTGAGTTTGCAGTTGATGCAGAAATAGTTGGTGATATACTACTACCAATGGTATCGGATGTTGATGTAAGAAGAGAACGAACAGCATCAGAAACAACTGCCGAAGACATTTGTGGACTTCTTTGACCAGAACATATAGCAGTTGACGTAATTGTTTGATCTTCAGTCAACAAAAAATCTAACCCCATATTCAGTGAAGATGTTGGGCATCTTCTGGTTGATGATGTTAAGCCACTGGATGATGATTCCAAGTTAATAGTTGATGGACTAGAATACTCACTCGTACTAACACCACCTTTAGATGACATTTCATCAGTTGGAAAGCCATTTGAAGAAGTGGTTACTACTGCTGTACTTGTTGTTGTCATGGGAGTGTGGTAAGAGTTATTATCACTCCCGATGTCTATGCATTGTTCAGCAATCACTCCTTTAGTTATATTCGAGCTTACAGATGTAGAAAGAAATGATTTCGTCATCATTGTTGTATATGTAGATGCAGTCGACAAACTAGATGATGTAGATGACATGCTATCAACAACACACATATTCACACCTGGTATAGCGGCCATTGAAAAACAACTAACAGGACGAGTAGAAATTGATGGTGAAGATGGCAGTGAAATGGAAGTGCTAATCTTATCCGGAGAGGATTGTGTTCCAATCCATGAGACTAAGAAAAATGAGAGTAATACAATAAGAAACAGAAAAAGATGAAGCATAATCACCAGTTCAGAAATTATAGATGTAATTACACAACAAAATGAAACCGGGAATAAAATGCATACACAGATCACAATGCATAATTTTACCAGTAAAACTTTAGCTTTCATTGTAAATCAGTCAAACAATTCCTGTAAAATTGGCGACAAAAAATGATAAACAAATCTGTCAATTTTATGCTGCTCTAATAACAATCTTACAGTATAACAGATAATCCATGCACTAATTTCAAGATTGAAGTCAGTGAGATTATCACTCTTGACACAATACAACATTAAAAAAGAGGTCACTTTTTCTTGAATAAATTCTTAAGCAACGTTGATAGGATCAATAGAAAAATCGCCACAAAACCAGATAATAATTAGAAAAATCTAACCTAACAAATAGAGCTAAGAATAAAAATTATGCAAGAAAGAGACCTATAATTATTATTAGAACGATCAGTGTTAAAACATGAACGAGCATCATGAATATTTATACATATATACCCTTTAAAAAAGAACGTAAAAATGTGGGTGTCCCAAAACTAGATTTCAGAAAGTAACCTAAATTTTCTCTCTCTCTCTCTCTCTCTCTCTCTCTCTCTATATATATATATATATATATATATATAAGGTGATCTGTAAACTGTGGAACGATAGAGAAAGTAATTTACAAAATTTCACAAGTAAAACAGCTATCTCTAATAATAATAATAATACTAATATTCATATTAATAATAATACACCTTATATAGTGAAAGAATATTGGTAACCAAATCTTAAGTGAATTATAAGAGATTATTTAAGCTCAAAATTGAACATGTTACACAAGTTAATCAACGCTATTTTACCTTTCGATAAATGTATCTCTTTGTATGTATGTAGTATTATATGAATATGAATCTATTTGCAACGATTTCTATTTTAAAATGATCAATTACATAACACTATAATCATCATGATCGCCTGAACGAAAACAATACAAACCAATTATACTTGTTCATGAATTAAAAACAATCGGAAAATGAAAAATACTGAACAACAAGACAATTGGCTCATATAAACATGAATCTTTGACATTAGTGTTAGTTTAAAAAAATTAGTATCTTACACTTTTCATAACTCATATATTTATAGTTAACAAATTTTTGAATATAAACATTTTGTTCTCCTAACAATTCACTATCAATAAAATAAAAGTCGAAACTCAATGTGGATTCAGTTGAGAAAAAATCTAAAGCTCACTTGACATCTTCATGAATAATGATGACATAAAGAAGTGACTGTTTTTTTTTAAACAACCTCCTCTGAACAGCTCCCTTCATTCCACTAACATAGATTTTTAACATAGTTTACTAGGTCCAACAAAATGTGCATTATGTAAAATGTGATTTATTGGAATGTACTGAATTCACGTTAGGAAATAGGTTTTACAGAATGTGTAAATACTAAATTAGCAAATTAGTTGTATTGTGTTGAAACAGAGATGATGAAGTGAACAAGACTGGTGTTACAACTGAAGCTTTTACACGAAAAATTCTACGAAATTCTCAAAAATAAGTATCTCTGTCATTAACTAATTACAGGTACAATCATCCTCCTGAAATCTGTTTGACAATGCTTGTGAATTTAGACACTCCAAGTAAACAAAAATAAGTATGTTCAGAATTGAGTGTTTACATAAATTACTAAAAATATTGATTTTCGTCATGAGTTCTCCTGACTCGCACTTCTTATTTGTAATTAATTAGATCCGAAAAATGAAGCGTCATTTTAACAGAAAACTTGTTTAAACTTACAATACGTGCTTTACGTGTTAATAAATAAAAATTATATTACTAGTATTCCATCTAATAAATTTTTACAGGCTATATTCTATGGATAACAGAAAACACTTAGGGAACTTGTTCATAAAATGATGGAGCATATCTGTAGCTCGGGATGAGATGTTGGAATTGTTGTGATCTCTAAGCGGGATGGATTGTTCATGAAGCTTTCATTGTTCCTCTGAACAACACCATTAGCACATACTTCAATAGCAACAAACTTATATACATCCAACTGTTTGATTTCTGTAATAATGGAGGTAAATATTATATATTGAGCAATAAAATTGCCGAGAAATATTTCTTCAGAAAAAACTAGTAATTATATATATATGATATAATCGAACAATTTCGGACAACATACCAGGTTGTGATGAAGGTCGTGAAGCCGCTGATGAGTAAGCAGAATCAACTAGTTCACCAGTAGGTCCACAACTAGTATTTGAACAAATATTTTCCGAATTAGTTTGATTACTAGGAGAACAAGAATCAGAAACCCATTGGGGAGAATTCACTATGTCTTGTTGAGATGTGACAACTTTCGTTGTTTGACTCGTCGGATGCAGTTGTTGTGACTTACGCGATGTTGACGCAACTTTGGGTGGTGGTTGTTGATGCTGAGGTGAAATTCTTTGTAAAGGTGATTGATTCCAATCAGGTATCGTTTGAGAGACATTTGTATGACAATGAGTAGTAATTTGTCGTACTCCAACACTGCCGGGATTTTGTCCACGAAGTGAACCTTTTGAAGAGATCTGATTAAATGCCTGAGATACTAGTTCTGTCAGTGGGCCAATTAAAGGTTGCCATTGATCAATTTCAATAGGTAGATCTAAACATAATGGGGGTACCAGTCGCCAATAGCCATCTGAGCGTACAAGAATACTTTCAGCTGACTGAGGTACTAATTGCGAAGCATACAATATGGTAGTATCAATGCATAATCCATCCAGACCAGCAGGGCTTTTGTGTCTACAATTTTTTTTAAATAAACAGGTAAATGAGATCAATATTGTTCAACATTGTTAAAGCAATGGAAAATACAAGACTGAATAAGTTAACACAGAGGATAACTATATTCCCAACATGATCTTAGACAATGATATATATATATATATATATATGGATTCCAGTTAATATATTCCAGATTACTGAATAATCGGAGTATAACAATGATCAAAACTTTAGGCATTGCTAAGACACTGATATGTACAGATTTATATATATCTTCTCCTTAGAGTAAACAACAAATCCGAGCCCATTTTAAATCCCGACTAAATACAAAAATGGCTTACTGAAACAAAAGAGAAAAAGAGAAACTATCTCTCACCACACATAACGAAATAATATTAAAAAATAATGAGAAAGCAAAACTGTTAGATAAAATACGAAAAAACGCCAGCTGTTTAAAAATTGCGTGTAATAATCTTTTGTGCATGCGTAGATAAACGGATATGTAGTGTAAATAGCTAGTGGTCAATTTGTACTTAACTCCCTTGCATTTTTCTGTTCATTAAAAAAGGGATGAAATCGCGAAAGCTAATAAATTTCATCAATATTCATCTTACAACTGCATGTAATTTCGCTCGGATATACGTAGATAGATAGATAGATATGGATAAACAAATGCATTGTCCAAATATTAAAACCAGAAAAGTTTTGAAAGGGCAGAAGAGAGAGAAGATAGATAGATAGATAGGCGAGTGTAAGTGTGATTAAAAGTAAACAACCATATAAATAGTACATAATAAATAAGCGCAACACTTTCTAGAGATTGAAACCATCATCATCATCGTCACAATAACAACAACAACAGCAACAACAACAACAACAACGACAAGTAATCGACTAGCCAACCAATTAAGGTAAACAAACAAACAAATTGATCCGAAATGGCAACTGATCGAATTACTGACATTTTAAATCGATTTTACAGCTTGTACAAACTAATTTATAATTGGTTAGCTATCTATAGTCCAGTAATCAGATGTTAGGTGAGTAGAATAATATTTTGTTGAAAAAAGTTATATTAATTGACAAACTATACATAATAATAATGATAATAACAATAGTAATAGTAAAAAATAGATTTTAATAGTTAGCTATAGGTGTTTTCGTATTTATGTACACACACTAAATGTAATCTTATGTGTAATATGAAAACCAATTAACAATTTATGTAAACATATACATACAAATAATTATTAATCTAAGAATATATAACTTGGGTAATGTATGTATAATAATGAATGAGAATACGGACAAATACAGTTTACAAAAGATTGACAAGTTGGGTGTGTCAGTTGTTATGATTCGCATAAAAGCGAGTATGGTGTTGGCCTTTTCTTACAATGAGTTTTACACTTTCATTAAGCGTTTCTCAACATTAAAAAAATCGAATAAATCATCTTCATTAATTAAATGGAGACGCTCATCAACTAGAGTTATCTATTCGAATAATAACGTATAAATTCTAAAAATTAATAGATTTATAATAAGTACGTAGTTCGACTCCTGAAAACAGAGTTTAAAACCAAGAAAATAATTTCTCTCGAAAATAAACACATTAAATATAGTTTATAGGAATATAGCATAGTTCAACTCTGATCACATGCTGTTATAAGTTAGAATTATTTACGAAACCATCTGATATTGTTTATGTTAAACAGCACGGAAATATTAAAAGAATGTTCATTAAAACCAGGTAGCATATATTGTGTGGTACGATGGATGGTAAGTACATAGTCTTATCCAGTACATATACTAAAACATTCTCTATCATTATATTGACTCGAAAAGTACTATTTTAATTCTCAATACTATGCCGGCTCAGTGGTCTAGTGGTTAAGTGCTCGCGCACGATGCCAGTAGGTCCTGGGTTCGAGCCCCGCGTGGTGCGGGATCGTGGATGGGCACTGCTGAGGAGTCCCATACTAGGACGAAACTGCCGTCCAGTGCTTCCAGGTTTTCCATGATGGTCTAGCTTCAATCGACTCATGATTTCAACCTGTGAAATACTATATACGTTAATACTATAAATAATTAAAATATGTAAACATCGATAACAGAAACAATACGATAACTCTATGATGTAAGATGGACATACTCGTTAGGTATAATTGACTGATGAACATGGATATTTAAAATGAAAATCCCAACAAACGTAAGTCATTAGCTTACTAGAAATTTAGGAAACAGAGGAGTGAATATAAAGGAAACATCGCTTGTAGCTCTTCTAGGGTTATAGTGCCAGTCCTAAGACCGGATAAAGTAAGAGGGTTGAGCATGCGGTTAGCAACCCCATCAGGTAGAAATGAACCTCGCTAAAAAACGCTAACAAAAAATTATTTAAACTGCACTGGGAGTTAAAGGATCTTCATTTATAAGTTATGAAGCCTCATAGCTCTAGCCGAGACTCTTCGGAAGTCACGAGGACAATGCCCCTTTCTGACAACGATAGCAACAATTAACATAGGTACATAGAATGTCCAAAAAGAGATAGACACATTGCCTCAGGAACTGCAGATACATTAAAAGAGTGAACAGTACTTAGGAGAAGCTGGAAACTAGAGACCAGGACGGAGTAGCATAGACAATCATGGTCGGCGGTAAGTAATCAATAAACAACTACTAATTATGCAGTAATAAGGTACCATTGGCATTCGATCAAAATGTCTCCCCTTCTTATATTTTCAATATGACGCATTTACGCTGAAAAATAAACAAAGAACACTTTGCAAACTTATGTGGAGAAAAAAAGACCCTATGGCATATATATCGCGTATTCAAACTGCTCTGATAATTGATAACAGTAGATTATCGAGCCCCCCCCCCACCGTAAGCTAGTGGCATTTCAAAAACAAAACAAAAAGTCAATTAAGCGATGAATAACACTAAGTCAGTTTGTTATGAATACAAGACCAAACCTACCCACAAATTGGACAATTCAGCCTGGGCCAAAGAACCTCTCTCCGTAGAAAAGCTTCCATATCAAATGCCTCTATATGTTGACAGCCTGCAATACGACCAGGTATACGCATTCTCGTACGAAATACCGGACATACTAAATTTAATTCAGCAATAACAGGTGTTTGAGAAGCTCCAGATGTTATATTCCGAGTTGTACTACCATCTTCATTCAAGTTCCGTGTACCGATGCGACCTTCAAGAATGTCGCAGAGAGTATTTACACCAGCAGGACGGCGTCGTTGAAGTCCATCAAGCAGAACGTTAAGAGCCGGCATATGTGCCATAAATGCTGCGAATCGATGAGCCTAAAAGTAAAGAAAATTATTGATTTCAACCAAGGGAAACTGCAGCCTATAGTATAGTACGTTGAAGGTTTCAATGTGTAGTTTGGAGCGAGATTTCAGTAGACCTGGAACAGTGTTTCGTGCACTAGAATCATCGACCATGGTGACACTTGAGAAGGAAGTCAAAAGAGGAATTTTAGAATCGAAAGTCGAGGTAGGAGGAGTAATAGGATTCGAAGAGATTGATTATAAATACAGTGGTCTTGAGTGCTATCAGAGGTATGAGGGCGGTTATCACTTCCCGGTTGCCCACACCGTGGAAGAGATCTCCTAGAGGTACCTGAAAAGAAAATTGGATTAAAGACAGTCTTAGTGACCTGAGAGCGTGACCGTATTGCCCAACGGACGATTGCTTGAAGTCAGTCAAACACGGCCTTTTTGTGAGTAATTTTCGTGTTAGCTTCGTACTTGTTGAGACCTTACCGCCGGAGATGGATATCCGTGGGATAAGGCGAGGTGTGCATTTTTAGGGTCGACCTTTTCTAACCCTACCCCTCCTTGTGGGAAGGCAGCATCGCTGTCATACTGGTTGTCTGAAGGAAACACCTTACTGCCGTCACACCTCTGTACAGTCAGCAGTACGACTGCGCTTTCAGACCTTGGGTTTGCTGCTTTTAGTCTTACTGTTCTTCAACCTGTTTGGCATGGTAGGACCTTGAGGACTAAAAATACTGCATGTGACCGGTCTTGAAGCATTGCAATAATTCTTTCAGGTCAATGAGAACGTGAATATTAATTCTGTATCTTCAAGGATACGGTAGCTTAAAAGTTTTAAAAGACCGTACATCAACAACAGTAGTAGAGCTTGTATTTTATCTAATAGATTTTATCTGATTCCAGTCATCAACCTTTCTAGTTTAAGCTTGAGTGTTTCACATGCTCTACCAGTGCTGACAATTTGGCCTAAAATGAACAAAATTCTAAAACTATATTCTGATTCTATAAATCTTTCAAAAACAGGTAACTAATCTAAAATTGTTTAACATATTACATATGCACAAATATTTTGCATGCCATAAACTGAATTATAACCTGAATAAAAGAAAGATATTCTCACACTTATAAGCATCAAACATTTCAAATATTAACCGAAACCCTACATTATGATAATTCGTTGTCCCAATACACTATATATATATATATATATATATATATATATATATATATAGATGACTACACTCTTGCTCATATACAGTTCACTTATTTCAAGACGATAAAAAACAAACAAAATATAAAAATTTATATTTATTTCACTTTCCGCACTTTTGTTTTCAGTTAATTGTAAGAAAAATATCCTCCTCTTATTCTCTTAATCGCTTTCTTGCATGTTCCTTTTATTAGTCAGTATTTCGCCCCCAAATGCCCTGGTACGGACGAGAGTGGGAAGAGTTTGGAGGGTCCATCTAGGGGAGTTGGAAAACCCTGATTCCAAAACATTGGCGTGCATGGGCTCTAGGATCTGAAAGAACAAATGCAGTGCGAACCAATAGTAGGTCACCGGCTACCATGGGATTGCAAATCTAGACGTCGCTCCACTGCCTTGTGGATCAGACCTTTAGGTCGAAGGCTCCGGGTGTGGCCGCTTAAGAAAACCACCTGCTTCGGTCTGGGCACTCGGGCAGTATCACAGCCTACAAACAAATCACGTGACTTGTGTGGCGCATATGTGTTTGGTGCTCCTTTGTACCAAGATTTATGTGTTCAAATAGATAAATTATAATAAATAAGCCAATATTTCACAGTAAATACAAATTATTGACCAACAAAAAAATAATAATAAATGATTTGGAAATTGGATGTTGTAGTACAGATTATATTTATAACATGCATAACAGAATGCATGAATAAATGAAACGATCAGATATCAGTTCATTAGGAACTAGTATGAATGCATATCTGCCGCAACTTAAGTGAGGACAATGGGATACGAAAAACAAAGATTAGAAGTAAAAAAAGAGAAAAACTAATTATAGCTGCAGTAGAAATTATGAGGTTTAAAAGGAACAGATATGATTGAAGAAATTAAAAGTTAGAAATCAAAAAAATTGAAAATTTTGCAAGAATTTAAAGAAGGAATACACCTGTGCCAACCCAACTGGTTTCGAACAACGTCATCCAATATAATAATCAACCATTTCAACAGACGTCCCACCTACAACTTCACTTGTCGATATCTCTCGATCCAACAACTTCATAAGTTAGCGCCATATCTTCGATCTCCCCACCACTAATATTTTCTCGCCTATTCCTGTGTAAAACCAGCATCAGAAATCTATTTCTACTACAAAACAGCTACCTTCTCTTCGTGTTACTTAGTACAGTGTATGCCGTAAAGGGCAAGTTGTATAATCGACATAACAAAATGGTAGAAGGGAAAATATATTTCGACTCGGTAAAACTAAATGCTAAACTTCGTCATACGCATAAAATCGTAAGACTAATAAGTTGAACAATTTATGAAATACAAGATACTATTGATTTAATAATACAATCGATTCTGTAAAAATCAACTACATTTTTATAGACAAGGTATAATAATTCCGAACATCAATACTGAATACATGAAAACAGAAAAAACGAAACAGCTTACTTCAAGTGTTTGAGCAGTAGCTCGACGTTTAGCCATGGTAGATGGTTGATTAGGGTCTTCGCCAAGACCTAATATAGCTATCTCCAGTTGATTACGACCAGGTCGACAAAGTTGTTTGACACAAGCTACTTTATGTGCAGGTTGTCCACCGTTCACAGAACTACGATCTAAACGCAGAAGGTAGTCATTGAAACGAATCTGTACAGCATCAGGAGGCCAATGACATACTTGTAATGGTTCTGATAAAAGATGACTACAGACGACTATATCTAAATCACTACGTCCGACGATTGTACTCAGGTGGTTTGCAGTCAGATCAAATTCAAAACGCCGTACATATATTCCTTCAGGAAGATATTGATGCATGACGTCATTTAGTTGCATTTGAGTAGGACCCCAAACCATACCATTAGTTATTGGACATACTAAGCGATCGGTGTCTAATTTATAAAAAAAATAGGGTGTTGGAAATCATATATTCAATCCAACATATTTTATTGATTTATTTAAGTACTTACATCCCAGTACAATAGGGTACAAAAATATGTGTTACAACTACGAAGAGAAAATTTACAAAGAAATAAAGAAAAGGGTAGTATAACCAACAAGTGGGAAGAAAAATAGTATTGAATAAGAAAGTACAACGAGTATGATCAAGAAAGGCCACATTCAATCAGGAGTTTATCTGACATTTATGAAGAATACAACGGGAAAATATAGCAGGATCAGTAACGATTCCCATTACAGATCATGTCTAAAAACATCTCAAGCGAAAAATTTGCATACCTAAGACCACGATCAGAGTCATGATGGAGCAATGAAAACTAGCTCAAAATAGCTAGTCTCCATTCCACGACCCTAGATTACCAACGAATAACCTTACAGATTTTCCCATCCATTAAAAGCATTGATAATTAGTGCACGGCGTGAAAGCCACATAAAAACATGCACAAAATATTTCCACGCCATCAAAGTCAGTGCTTCACTTCAATCAAACACACTCTCAGATTACGGGATTTCTAATATGGTGTTGCGGCTGGATATGAGTTCGTCGAAGTCAGTGATGATCGGACACAGTCCCCGAGTATCCTCAACTCATAGGGGTGAGGTTTTTAGCATGCATGGAGTAGAACTGCTTTCACTGACATTTTGTATATCTGACTATTTAAATATAATTTATCCTCCAATTTATGGAAATATTTTTCTGTTAGTTGAAAATACAATATGTAACCTAGTTATTCGTCATATCTATCGGCTCAATTACATAGTTAATATACTATGCAATAATATTGACCGTGAAGTTCAGTCACAACATCGAGGAATCATTTTAATTACAGGTAACATGCACACACACTATAAATGACTTGTATCTACTTCAGTAATTTCACCACAATAATAATAATAATAATAATAATAATAAATTGGTTAATAAAAAGGTAAACACAGGATAACACTGATTTCCAGTTACTAAAATTGTTACATTATTGAAAGTGATCGAAAAATCCCGTTGTCGTTTCAAGTTTTTTTTCTAAATGAAAAACTTGCTGGGATAATAAATCAATGCCTAAAACAATACTATACTATCAGTACTAACTAGTTAAATGATAACAATCTACAACCATCAGTTGTAATGATATTTTACTATTTACAAAATCGGTGAGTTGATCGATGGAAATGCAATCTCTATATCTGACTACGGTTTAAGCAAACAAAGACTCACAAGTATACGATGCAGTACCAACTGCCACAGTATTAGTAGTAGTACTACTACTATTGGAGGGAGGTGGTGGCGGTAGAGGGGCAGACGGAGGATAATTCTGAGAATTAGAATTCGATTGTGCAGAAATTCGATTACAGTTAGAAGTCAAAGGGGAAGATGAAATAGTTTGTACATTTGAATTAGGTTGTATTGTATGTGATTGATAATGTACATTTGGTGGAGGAGGTTGAGTATTATTATTGGGTGGTCCAACATTCGAATAACATATTTGATTATTGTTTGATGTCAATGTTTGCTGTGATGTGTTCATATTTATATTAGAAATATGTTGATTGATTTGATTGTAAAATGCGTTGTTACCATGACCAGAAGAATACGATGTACAATTATTTGATGTATTAGACACTGAATATTGTTGCTGTTGCATAGGCATTTGACTAGAACAATATGAATGCTGAGGAGAAACTGGCAAACGCGTATTATGATTAGGTTGAGTATCTAAATTATTTGAAGATTCATTATATGTTATCCCAGTTGTAGATATGTTTAAATTATTATTGACGGGAGGACCTGAATTCGGTCTCATACTACCATTGTTTGATTGTGTGGCAAAAGTAACTGGAGATTCTCGACGATCTAAATTACCAATAAATCCCGAATTTACCATGGGAATCCCCATTGACTGAGTTGGTGATATCATAGTGGAGTTGAAACTTACATTTGTGGAGGACCCATTATTCCATGACTGAAGTTTCTTTGATTGTTGATTAACTGGTCTTTGACCAGGAGAAAAGGATTCTGAGGAAGATACAGAGGGTATTGTATTGGCCGTTAAATTCTTCTTGGAATTAACGCGGCTTCCACGACCTACTCCGGATGAAGTCTATAAAATTCATGAGATAACAAATTAAAATAAAAAAATGAGTTATTTTTATAAATACTCGAAGTGGTAATTGTTATTAGTTAGTTAATATATGAATTAGCATGATATGCATATCAAGTATTTATCTTAATTTTAGCATTTAGCAAACTGATGAAAAAAAGTGCGGAAAACAAATTATTCAAATGAATATAAAATATATTTCACACAATAACAACACGGATTTATGCAGTTGTTAATAACTAATCCATAACACAACTGATAATTATCTTTCATCAATAGTATTTATTAATATTTGTATCAACAAGCTGTCGTATGAACCTAAGGAATTCTATGTTGGAAGATGTTGCAGCTAATGATCATGAACAGTTTTGTCTACTCTAATTAATAACATATTTTCTTCATGTAATGTTGACATCTCTTACACAAAAAAACCCACAACCACTGATTTCTTAGTCAGTAAAAATATTACCGATAGATTTTTTTAGACAACACGCTCTGTATTGGGTTTATTTTTCTTTTTAAATATCAGTTTGAGGTCTGAAAATCCTAGCGATGGTTGTAATGTGAATCTATTAATAACAAATGAACATTACTGTTGGCCAAAGAGATCATACTCATTTTGAAAAACTGTTTTGAAGACGAATGGAATTACACTAAGTTTGGAATTGTTTCTAAGACAAATTATTCTCAACACGAAAATAGTTAAGTTTTTTTCGTCAACAAATATAGTCGAAAACATATATAGATCGAAAAAATATTTGCTTCCATTATAAGTACTAGGAACAGTTCACACAATCTAACTAACATATTCACTGATGAAACTAGTTTTGAAAAATAAGCAATGAATTTGCCAATTATACTAACTTGGATTTATATACACTTTATGAGTAATAAAACAAATTATTATGGATAAGAGCAAAACCTATGACCAAAAGAACCGTTAAAAATCAAATCTATTACAAGGGAAAATAAATAATTTCTTGATATAACACAGAACTGATGATGATGATGATGATGATGATATGATAAAGGAAAATTCAAGAGGAATACTTTATACAAGAAAATGTAAACAATTTAAATAAAACATCTTAAAACAACGTAAATCAATCTCAACAGTATAAAAGTAATGTAATTAATGAATGTAATATTTTCAATGAAAAATATCAATATAGAAATTCAGTAATCCGTTAAAACAAGCAAAACATATGATAGTAAAACAATTCCGACAACAATATGTTGACTTTCACAGATTATTGAAATTTGAAACATCTCTGTTGAGAATAGTATATATAATTTACTATGAAAATAGCTGTAATACTAAAGAGCATATTTTTGAAAACTCAAAACTAACATGACTATTTAATTGCTAATCATTAATAATGTAATTAATTTGTCAAGTAATCGACTTTGAGTTACATACAGTCGATTGGCTGCTCAAACTGAAGTATGAAACTGAAATCTACTAATTAACATCAGCGTTCTTTAATTACGAAGTCATCGCTTACATGATAAACATAAGAAAATTTGATAATCTATGCGGTAGAATCTCAAAAAACGAAATAGTAGCTCATATCTAAGTAATAAGGGGATCTATAATACTACCATACTAATCAAATATGACAAATTGTTGCTAGACACACATATGAGCAATACTGGATCAAATATTTTTTAATGGAAAATCAGAAGTATGGCAAAACATCTTATCCAACTCGAAATTTCGTGTTATTTTCGAATAAATTAATTCTCATTGAAATTAAATCACGCACGCGTGAATCGAACCCAGAGCCTTCGTTCTCACACGAACGCCTAGCCTCTAGACAACTGAGTCGGAATTCCACGGTGTTGATGTCTAACTGCCTTACAACAATGATCATTCAAACCAATTCATAAACGTGATTTTAGAAGTCATATTGCGTCAGTAAAACTATTATTTTTCCATAAAGTCATCAACAGGTGGTTTTGTAGTCTTTCATTGTAGGATCATTTACACCAAATACGATATCCGCTGTGATATTGAACTATGATGTCATTATATATCGATTATATCAAAAAAATGGGGAAAATTAATCGCAACTAAAACTTTGGTGAATTCAGGTTGAATATTTATAGTCTCCCGGATTGATGAAACCGAGATAAATGTGAAAATGGGCTGTTTGTTAGCTACAACGTGCACAGACACACACAAAGTAGCATTCAGGTGGACATGACAGGAGTTTGTTAGTGAAAGTTTAATGATTTCACAACTGAACTACCGCGGTTATATGATGTAAAATGGAATGATCCTGTTCAAACATATCAGTAAAATTCTAGACTTGGACAATAAAAATTATGCTTTTTAGTTCTCATTAAACAGGTATGGTCTATAGGATAGTGTTTTTTATTCAACTCGGTAACGCTGTGTAGGTGTATTTTCGTATCCGGTTTTAAACTGGGTGTTTTATAGTGTCAAGGTTAAATGATAACATTTTTAGTTGTCTCAATTGAAGTTGGTTACCCTAATAACGTATGATTGAAATTGACTAAATTCAACAAATCCTTTCATAATAAACGATGTTGAAGAATTGTCACACACACACTAGCAAATACTCAAACATTTTATTTCTCTATCTGTACAAAACACATAAATTATGAAGGGATGTACAGAAATGGATATAGAATCTACTAGTGATCGACATAAGGGCAGATGATGAAAAAAAGTCGGTCTGATGCATAAGATAAAAAGGGGAAGGTAGGAAAAAAACCTCAGCTCGGACTACTACGAAGCATTAATGAAGTTGTTAGTGTGTGTATGTGAGTGTGGTGGTACGCACACACATACAAATAAAACTAAAAGATAAACTTGGAGAAATTATATCCTTTAAAACAGTATAAAATAATAATTATTATAATAGTTTGATTGATGAAAGTCACCTCAATAATCATAATGAATATTAGAACACACAAATTAAACAGTCCAGAAATTTCAGTCCGAAAACCAGCATATTCACTTGCAAGAAGAAGAAAAAACAAGGAAGCAAAGGAATGTATGATATGAAGTAGTAAATGGTGATAAGTTTAATTGAGAGCGAATAAAAAACTCAACCATTTGGTACAGAAAATAAAGGTTGATACGTGCACAGAAAAAAAACAAATAAATACACACAGACATACGTACATGTACATGTATACTATTCATTCATTCTCTATAAATTATCAAAGGGAAGCAATAAGTTAAGATGAAATCTCATGAACATTTTCAATGGTAGAATTTTGTAATGTTATTTTGTTTATTTGATTGATCACTTCACTTTACCAGTTTTTTTGTGCATATATACATTAATACATTATAATTTTACAAAAGACAAGTATCAATTTAGTTAGATTATGGCGATTCATTCATTTGGACGTGAACTAATTATTTTTTATTCTGCTAAAACATAAGGGAGCACAACCCATCTAATTTTTCTGATTGAGATCATGAATCAATTGATGTTAGACCACCATTGAAAACCTGGAAACACTGGACGGCTGTTTCGTCCTAGTATGAGACTCCGCAGCAGCGCATATCCACGATCCCTCACGCTTCTGAGGCTAACGGTTAGCGCTGCTGTGAGTGATATATTTAAAACGAAATAAGTGCACATAAGCTGTAATAAAAACATCATTTATCAATGTAAGCCCACACATTAGAAGTTGGAATAAATAGATGAATTGTTTAGAATAATGAAGAGTGTCACAAAAAAGATATCAACAATTATTAGAAATGAAAATCCACTTAGAATGTGCATTAGAATGTTAGACTTACTATTTAATACTTAAATAAAGCAATCGATTATACTAAAGGTCGAACAAAAAAAGGCGAACTAACTAAATTTGAATGGTGGTATTATCATCGTACAGCCTTTTACAAATAGTCATATACAAGAGATAAAATGGAAATAACTAACTCATGAATAATTAAATAGAATAATCTGTTTGAGAAATATATGTTTTTTACTGGTAAAATAAAATTTTATACAAAGCAGTTGAAGTTGCCAGTGGCATACATAATTATTCTCGGTTTTTTCTTATTCTTCCTCTTTAGCAATAATCTAGATGCATATGTAGTTTAGAAAATCTTACAATTTATATTCCAAGTAACAGTAACACTTTCATGGTTAACAAAATATCCTTATTTACCATAAACGACTCAAATAGTGTGATAATCGATAATATAATTTATAATGGAAAACTAAACCTTAACTGAAATGTATTTTATATTAATACTGAGGTTCTATCTACGATAATGTATGGTCAGATATGAAAGCTACCAAGTTATTTTAATTGACTTCACTGATTTTTATTTATTAACGTTCATTGATTTGAGCATTCAACCGATATGTCTGATAACTAGACATTTTAAACTAAATTTCTCCCAGAAATCTGCTACATTTGAGACCTAAGTTGTAGGTAAAAAAAGGAACTAAGAACACAAGTTTTACTTCCAATGTACACCCAGACGGAATGCTAGATTCCACTGCTGGCCAAATATATATAAACGTGTGTTATAATAGCTATATGAAGAGAACGTAAATAGGATGAATATGTCAAATAAGACTGGTTAGATTCCAGTCAAAATATCGTAATCAGGATAATTCAAACCATTACAAATAAAATTACTTCGAAGGTTAATCTAAGTACAGAAAACAAGGATAAACACAGTCTTATGTGACCTTAATATCCTGGGAACTGCTAGAAATATGTTCAAATGAGTAATAAAATCAGGAATTGTTCACCCGGGATACAAAGTATTTTCTACTTCTTTTTAGATTCTGAAGACTTTTCTGAGGAACTCTAGAAGATGGGCAACATTAACATTTATTCGATAGATTCTACAACGGAACTATAATTATTTTGAATTGGATCAGACCAGAGAATCCGTATTAATTACATTTACACAATATGCTAAAAGGTCGATTAACAAAATTATGATGAATTTCTAAATTGCACCATATCAACGCGAAGCAAGACCTAAACCGAAA